TATGTACACACACGTAGACATACATATTTAGTATACACATTCAGTAATATGCATACACTCTTATATTGTACATATATTTATTCATATAATTCTCAGATTTAGCCATTCTTATATTTGCTTGTTCTTATGTTATTGCACACCTCTGTTGCTTGTGAAGCTCGCACACAAGAATTTCACTCACATGTACTGTACCAGTGTACCTGCACATGTGATGTGACAATAAAAGTGATTTGATTAGATTTGAAAACAACCAAAAGAACAGTTTCCCATCAACCCCCTCAGAATCACATGTTTTATTACACTGTTGTTTGTATATTTTATCCGTGGAGGCATGTGGTTGATAATATGATATCTCTAATAATGCTGGTGCTCAGAGTAGGTCAAAAGAATCATGCTGTGCAAACACAGGTGGTTGAGGTGCACCACACACGTCCCAGTGACATGTTTCAGAAAGACTTTCAGCTGAAATGATCTAAACCAGGGGTGTCAAACTCAAATACACAGTGGGCCAAAATTCAAAATGGAACAAAGTCGCGGGCTAACGTTAATATTTATTGGAAAAAAAAAATCTTCCTCCAGATATAAGAATGAATCTTTTCTTATGGACTCAAACAAGTTTAGCTGAAAAACTGAATATGGAACAGCAAAGCTTAATACTAAACAATATATATATTAGCTGTATAATACCAGTAGGTCAGCTCTGATAGTAATTTGGTATGGCTTCGCGGGCCAAATGTAATTAGGCTGCGGGCCAAATTTGGCCCGCGGGCCAGAGTTTGACACCTGTGATCTAAACTAACAGCTCTGTGATAATCACAGTTTTTATATCATCATAGTGAGTCATGCACATTTTATTCCTCTTTTAAATTATTCCACTCTTAAAAGTTTTAATTTATTCATTCATCTTTTTCCTTTTGTGCACTTTTCCATTACTGAGCTTCTTTTTTTCACCTGTTATAGGCTGTGTTTATTGTTTTGGCTACAGTGATTTTCAGATAAGTAAATGATATCTTATCTAACGGTGCCTATAAGAGCTGCCCTGGGGGACCCTGGAGCTGGGCCCGGGCCCGGGCCTCTGGCTCAACCTGATAAGAACCACGGATTTATCACAATGTGTTTTCTTGCACCTGCGTGCAAAAATTTAAACTGTGAAACAGACTTTCCATAGTGATATGCTGCGGTTTGTGGAGGAGAGGCCACTCTCATTCTGACTCTTTTCGACCACAGAGCAGAAAACAACCGCTATGCGGCTGCTGTTCTCGTTTGCCAGCCTTGAATCGCGCTCACCTCTCATGGCGACGTCGATGGGGCTGAGTCCTGCTGCAAACACCTTGACAATCACCTCATTGGGATAGTTGATGATGGGAAAGCTGGCGTTCTTGGTGAACCGTAAGACCTCATTGCTTCCGTATTTATCAATGACCCAGGCGGGCATGACAGTCCTGCACCTGCTGGAGGTGCTGAGCAGCCTGGCGCACCTGGGCAGGGAGCTGTGCACACCTGGAGACTCGCTCAGGTGGAGCAGCACCCTGCTGTGCACCAAACGTCTCAGAGAAGTCATCTTTAGCATCTCACAAATACAACTGGACGCGCAGGCGCATTCAACGTGCGCAGATTAGAGGGTGAAGCTGGTTGAAATCTGCCGCTACCTGCTCTCTCTGTCATGTAAACACACGTGGAAGTCTCACATTCATCTAAACGAAGTGGAAATGCTTAAAATCCTCATGTGGAAACGTCCTTCCGCTCTTCCCTAACACCGGCTGCCTCCTCCGGTGTCTCCGCCAATCAGAGCGCGAGTTACTAAACCGCTGTCGAATCACAGGCAAGCGTGTTAGAGGAAACAAACATGGCGGCTCGCAGAGGCCGTTCGCTGCAGGAAGGTTGTTTGTAAAGTGAAAGGTGCTCCGAGATGCTGAGCCGGACGATAAAGCAGGTCAGTGACGGCAGTGTCTGTGCCGCGCAGCGACTCACCGACACACGAAGTCTTCATCAGACAGACGACGAATCATCGTCATCAGACAGCACGCAGTGACGCGTTAGCAGCCACTAAAACGCGTACAGGTAGCATGAAGGCATAGCTGAGAATAGCGGCGGTTTCATTTTGAGATATGCAACATGTTTATAACGAATGAAGCCCGTTTGTGCCGCTTTGTAATGACGTCTTTATTACATGAGAAAGCTGCAGGAACAACAGACAAGTGGTCAGCGAGCATCATGTTGATGGAGAAGCGCAGAGCACTGTGGATCACAGACAGCAGTGGGGGTCAGAGCACATTTGTGAAGTGAAGGCATGCTATGGTGTATGGTTTGGAGACGATGGCAATAACAAAAAGACAGCTGAAGATGTTTAGATGTTCTCTGGGAGTGAGCAGGATGGCGAAGATTAGATGCGAGTCCATCAGAGGGACTCAGAGTTAGAGGGGAGAGGCTGAGAGGGTTTGGACATCTGCCGAGGAGGGAGAGAGGATATCTTGGAGAAAGGAAGATGAAGATGGAGCTGCAGGCAGGAGGAAAAGCGGAAAACCTCAGACGATGATGGATGTCGTGAAGGACATTTTCAATTCAACTTTATTTGTACAGCAGAAAATCACAACAACAGTTGCCTCAAGCTGCTTTATACTGTAAGGTCGAGACCATACAGTTATACAGAGGAAACAGAAACCCCAACAGTCACATGACACCTGTGAGCAAGCGCTCACCTCCGGCATCTCCAAGCTTAGGGAGGGGCAGCCATCTGCTGTGACTGGTTGGGGTGAGACGCGCTGTGGAAGAGAGCCAGAGATTATTAATAACTCATGGTTAAATTCAGTGAGGTGTAAAAACACATGGTGAGTGAAAAAGCAGAAGAAGAGGAAACACTAACAGATTCTAATTTGTTCATGTAAATGGAGAGTCTGGAGTTCCACAGGGTTCAGTGCTGGGACCAATTCTGTTTACATTATACATGCTTCCCTTAGGCAGTATCATTAGCATACATTCTCACTGCTATGCATCTTTCTCCTATATATCGACTGCAATATATAAGAAACACGGGAGTCTCCGAGTCCATCTGTCCCCCACAGAACAGCAGTCTGCTGTGTCTGCACTGTGTTCTGTCTGCTGTTGAATGTGCAGTCCTGCGTTGATTCTTCTTGCTGCTTCACTGTCATGGTTAAAAAAAGCTTCGATGTAGTTTCTTTGTGATACTGTAATGTTATTAATAAAATGCACGAGTTTGATTCCAGCTCTGCTGTTTCATCGTCGTTTTTCAGGTGTCTTCAGCGCTGCGGGAGGGACGAATCTCTCCGACAGAGCTCTGCAGAAAATGCCTGAATCGCATCAGGAAAACGCAGCACCTGAACGCTTACATCACGGTGACAGAGGAGCGTGCTCTGGAGCAGGCTCAGCAGGCAGAACGCAGACTGCAGCGAGGTGAGGACATCTCGAGCCGAGCTCGATTTGGTTCCGTGTGACTCGGGTGTCACTGCTTGATCTCTTCTACCTTCAGGTGTGCCCAAAGGTCCTCTGGATGGAATCCCGTTTGCTGTCAAGGATAATTTCTGCACGGAGAATATCAGGACCACATGTGCCTCCAGGATGCTTAAAGGTCTGTGTGAAGTGGGTTAATAAAAACAACTTGTTTTTCACTCTATTGCAGCCCAGTACTTATATATCCTGCTTTTCCTGCAGACTACACTCCCCCTTATAACGCCACAGTGGTCCAGAAACTCCTCGACCAGGGGGCAGTTTTAATGGGGAAGACCAACATGGATGAGTTTGCAATGGGGTAACTGAGTTTTTGCAGCATTTTTGATTAAAGTAGAAGAGATGTCAGGACTGAACATTTAAGTGTTGTTAAAATCTGCAACCAAATCCGTTCACACCTACATCAAGTGTTGCAGTCTAAGCGCAGAGTCAGACTAACGAACTGGTCGTCTGTGCGATGGATCGACCACAGTGTGAACAAACTGCAGCAGTTTAATGTTTCTGATGTAGAGGAACAGAAACCAGCACTGGGAGGTTAAACTGGATCTTTGATCTGGAGGAAATGTGACAAAGTGCATTCTGGGTAAACTTTTCAGGCTCATATCAGCATGTGAGATTAGTGGCTGCTCAGAACAAGTTCGAGCAGATGAAAGGTGACCTTTGTGCCTACATGTGATGCCTCCTGGCTCATTTTCTAGTCATTGTGGAGTTACATGTGGATCCTTCTGTCCTGTCGGTCTGTATTGTTGAGCTGTTTGCATCATCAGATTATGAAAAATAAGGGTTTTGGTGGGAAAATCTTCATATCCAACACTAAACTACATACCAGGAAAATTACTGTTTGGGAATTGTCAGAGTCATGAAGCCTGAATGACTGCAAGGCGTCGTGCGTTGTCATGCATGTTGCCCCGCTGGTGTTGTTCAGGTTCTTTGGACATGATTCAAAATGTTCATCCCGGTTCCATCTAAGTTATACTTGCAAACTCCATCTTTGTGTAGCGCTGACTCACAGCATTCTCGTGTGAGGAGGAATCAAAATGTTGTTAAAAAGATAAATTCACTGAACAAACAAAGGTTACAAAAAAAGACTTCTGTAGGCTGCAGTTTTTCTCATATGGATCCGTTTGTTTTCCTCGCAGTGCGGGCAGTACTGATGGTGCTTTCGGCGCCGTAAAGAACCCCTGGGGTTACGCTGCACCCTACAGAGAGCGGACGAAGGCAGACCCGGACTCGGACTGGGTCGTCACTGGAGGCAGTTCAGGTGGAAGCGCCGCAGCTGTGGCCTCGCTCACCAGCTACCTGTGAGGAGACGTGTTCGGGCTCTCGTCTTCAGTAAGACTGTCAGGATCTCCGTGTTTACATGTGATGCTCTTCTTGGCAGAGCTTTGGGTTCAGACACGGGCGGATCCACACGAAACCCCGGGTCATTGTGTGGCGTCGTGGCCCTGAAGCCCACGTATGGTCTGCTGTCCAGACACGGTCTCATCCCCCTCGTTAACTCCATGGACGTCCCGGGCATAATGACACGCAGCGTGAACGATGCGGCCGTCGTCTTAGGTGAGAATCCCCCAGGTGACCCTGGACATCAACACGCAGCAGCTCTATGATTAAGAATGTCTGAATAAGAATGTCTGCCGCTCTAAAGGAAACTGCAGCTGTCTCATTTCGCAGCACATTAACCAAACGGCACGACTCACCTGGGATTATGTTGTCGTGTCGTGCAGGTATCCTCCAAGGCCTCGACGTCAGAGATTCAACAACAGTTCCCGCCCCTTCATCACTAACAGAGCTTCCTGAAGACTTTGATGTTAAGAACATCTGTGTGGGCATCCCTAAGGTGACACTACAAACTACCTCAGCATTACACGCCAACATATTACTTTGCAGGAGTGAATATTGAGGTCAGCACTGAGATGAACCTTAACATGGAAGCTGCTGAGATGATTGCATTGATTGCAAAGGCAGGTAGATGAAAGTCGAGTATGAACAACAAGTTGAGCCGTTGTTCCGTCTCTCCTGTGCTGCACGTCAGGAGTATCACGCCCCGGGCCTCTCCGAGGAGACTCTGGCCCAGTGGAGCAGCGTGGCCGACTTGTTTGAGGAAGCTGGAGCGCGGGTGGAGCGAGTGTCGCTCCCCCATACGCAGTACTCCATCGTGTGCTACCACGTCCTGTGCCACGCCGAGGTGGCGTCCAACATGGCCCGGTTTGACGGCCTGGAATACGGTAATGAATCGTGCTGTGGTGTGTGGGTTTGGCACTTCTTATAGCGGATGTGATGAAGTCTGACTCTGCCAGCAGGCCACCGCAGCCAGATGGACACCTCGACAGAGGTCATGTACGCCTCGAGCAGGCACGAGGGCTTCAACGACGTCGTCAGAGGGAGGATTCTGTCTGGGAACTACTTCCTGCTAAAACGGTGAGACTGAGCCGTCGTGTTTCCGAGCCATGGAGGGATCCTGTGATCCTCTCCATCTCTCGATCTTTTTCTAAAGAATAATTGTGTCCTTTTATTTTCCCTCAGGAACTACCAGCACTACTTTGTGAAGGCTCAGAAAGTTCGCCGGCTCATCGCGAATGACTTCCAGCGCGTGTTCAGCTCTGGTGTCGATGTACTGCTGACGCCCACCACGCTGACGGATGCGGCTTGTTACCACGACTTCACTCAGGAAGATAACCGAACGCGCAGCGCACAGGAAGACGTCTTCACGCAGCCCGCCAACATGGCAGGTAGGCCCTGAAGCTGCATGCAGAGGAAGTGTGGGAGGAGCATTTAAATATGTTGGGGATAAGCACACCATGCACACCTGTAACTGAGGAGCTTAAGAAGCTGCTTCTCGTTTCCCTCCTGCACATGAAGTGAAATGAAACTGGTGTTTTTGAGCTGAAGTGGCGTTCTCTGTTCACTCTGTGACTTAGAAAGAGCATCCAGCTTCTCTCAACTCTCTCTCTCTCTCTGCACACCAGGTCTCCCTGCAGTCTCTGTGCCGACGGCTTTGTCGAGACGGGGCCTTCCCATTGGCCTACAGCTCATAGCTCCCGCTCTCCAAGACCGGAAGCTGCTCAGCGTGGCCCAGTGGATCGAGCAGAGGGTTGGTTTCCCCTCGATCAGTGACTTTGAGGACTCGGGAATGACGAGACGGGAGCAGACGGGAGCTGCGTGAGGAGCTTGAAGCTTCTCCGTTACCTTGACTGTCTGTCACAGCTGACTTTATTTGTCGTGCTAATAAACACATGCATTTGTTCTAAGGTCTTTTTTTTACTCCTCAGCCTTTCAGGACATTCTTAGGATCCATAGGGACGCTCAGTTTAAACAGCTTGGATCTCGTATCTGTATGAGTGGCTGCCTAATATGGCCATGTCTGGTATCTCAAGCCCCTCCCACCTGCTCTTTATATCTTCTATAGCCAATCAGAGGAAAGTTGGCTAACAGCCACACGAGAGTAAAAATAGAGAAGCAATATCTAACTCCTAAGAAACAACGGTTGCCCAGCATGTTGCAAGTAGCTTTGGTGACCAAATGGTTACCCAGAGGCTGAGCGAGCAGCGCCATGAGGCTTTGTTCACACAGCGATCGTCTCCACACAGATGTTGCCCAGTTTGGACCTTCTGCAGTCACTCAGTCACTTCACATCATTTCCATCTAATTTATAAACGGGCAGATTCAAATATACTCACAACTCATTTGTGACGAGTCTCTTTGCCAAAGAGCGCTCAAGCCAACTGGTCGCTAACTGGTTTCTTCTGGTTTCCTGTTTAACAGCGAGGTTGTAGAACCTCTGTGTCACGTTGCAGTCCTGGAGCAACTACATCACGAACCAGGCACAGCCTTCTCCCACGACCCTTTAGTCTGAAGGCAGAGAGACGTGACAAAAGCCAGAGATTAATCTTAACTAACACATAAACACAGAATGACGAGGAAAAGCTCAATGCATCATGGGAATCCTCCCGCAGCATAACTAAGGGAGGATTCAGGGTCACCTGGTCCAGCCCTAACTGTATGCTTCAGCAAAAAGGAAAGTTTGAAGCCTAATCTTAAAAGTAGAGATAGTGTCTGTCTCCTGAATCCAAACTGGAAGCTGGTTCCACAGAAGAGGGGCCTGAAAACTGAAGGCTCTGCCTCCCATTCTACTTTTAAACACTCTAGGAACAACAAGTAGGCCTGCAGAGCGAGAGCGAAGTGCTCTAATAGGGTGATACAAGGTCATTAAGATAAGATGGGGCCTGATTATTTAAGACCTTGTATGTGAGGAGCAGGATTTTGAATTCTGGATTTAACAGGAAGCCAAAACAGGAGAAATCTGCTCTCTCTTTCTAGTCCCTGTCAGGACTCTTGCTGCAGCATTTTTATGGAGTTTTTTGGGACATCCTGATAATAATGATTCATAATAGTTCAGTGTAGCAGTGAGAGAAGTACGTGCAGGCTGTAAGTCTATCGCAGTGTCGTCATAATTCTGTGATGCCACAGATCTCAGACTGCTGTTGTCTCTGTGGCATCAAACAGAGGCTGGTCTTAAAGGGACAGGAGCCAACTACGTCAGTACAAACAGGAAGGAAATTAATAAACAAAGATTTCATAATCAGCCTAGTATGCATGCATGTACTGATCAATGCTCTTCGGGCTCTTTGTGCATCACAAATGACTGTCTCAGAATTACTTAGAGTTTGCACTCAAATGCTGGAATTAACCCAGAGTGAAATCTGTCCCGTCAGCCACTTAGTGCTGGGAGCTGGAGGAGCATCCCCCGTCTTCTTCACCTGATCCTGACCAGTTTTCCTGGAGTTCTTTGGTGATTGTTAGACATAATGAATCCAGACACTGTAATTCTACATCAGTGCACTTCTATTACATCCAGATCTGGTAGTTTTCTACCTTAGATGTGTGATGAGTTATGTTACTTTTAGTGTTTCTGAGAATAAGAAGAAGCAGTTTACACGTTTATCTCATGACACTGCAGCAGAAACACTGATAATATAATTCTCTGTTGTCATGCCTATCTTTATCGTTGCCTTTATCGCAGCTATATGCAAATGTGTGTGCATGTGAAGTTTTTTGTGGGGAGATAAGGTTTCATAAATCTTCCGTATCAGCTGACAGAAGCAGCAACACATTGACTCTGCGCTGGTTTAAAGGTGCCGTGTTTACCTCAGCAGGCCACAATAAGACAGTTAAGAAAAGGATGACGAGTTCTGTTTGAGGTTTTGGCCTCTGTTCACAAACAGGGTCCTGATCTTTAAAGCAGTCTTTATAAGGCCGGACAGATCTGGGCTCTGACTGCTCTCACAGTGTACGCTGATTATATTAGCAAAGTCGGTTTTATTTATATAACACTCGTCATTACATGAAAACTCAATGTGCTTACTGCAGTTCGAGGATCTGTGAGATCAGGGAGGAAGTATTTGAAAGGTAACTTAATTATAAGATCATTAAAATGTCAAACTGTTCATCAAACAAGGTCTGTGATACATGAAAACTTCACTTCAAGTTGCAGTTATGAAACATCAACAATATTTCAGACGGTCACATGTTCTTGGGAATATCGAGACGATGCGTCTCCGTTTTCCTTACTTCAGATTAATATTAATTTTTACCTGAATTGTCTCATTACAAATATCCACATGAACTTTCAGGAGTGCAAAACACATTTAAGCTCAACGAATCAAGTGTCAGAGTCTAAAGCCTGAACCTTTGTTCATCTTCCTGCTGTGGCTGCCTCTGACAGCTGGAACAAATAATGGCAGGGTCTGCACCCAGCAACATGTTGATCGTGTTGGAGCTATTTGTTCTTTATTTTTATTATTTTGAAATTTGTAAAAGTTCGTTGTTAGTTTACTTATATTTTGGGGATTATTTACAAGTTTTATTTGTAGGTCATTATTTGTTTAAATGCTTTGTTTGTTTGGCGTTTACCTTGTTAAGTCAGTCATTAAGCGCTGTAGGGCCATGTTTTCTATAAATAAAGAGGCTGGTATAGGACCAGCATGCACTGGGGGGGGGTTGATCTTGTTATTGCCAAACTGGATGAATAAACCATAAAAACGCAACTTTTACGTTTGGACCGTGGACTTCTTTTGCCTGCGTACAAAATATGATCTCAGTGCAGCAGGGGCTTGTTGATTTTAATTGTGGGATGTTTGGTTTGTCAAACAAAAGAAATTGTCACTACAGATAGTATGAAGGTAAAAATGCGCCATTGTTTCTCACGTTGTCCCCTGCAGACGTGAGGATTTATTTGACCCCTCCCACCTGCCCGACTCTTTCTATGGCTCCTCATCTGATCCCGGTCTTCATTACAAAGTCGCCCACATGAGGAGGACGTGCAAGCGAAGAGCAGAGGAGTGGTTCCTGTTATGCTTGATAATAGCATGCAGGCGCCGGTCTGCAGCTGTCAGACTGAAAGCTGATGTGTAAAAGGCTTTGAAAGCTTTTTTTCACGCCACACAAACATTGTGTTTTCCTGGACTCGTGTCACATGTCAGGATGTAAACAACAGTCTGCTGCACTCTTCACAGCTCAGCCTCTGCTGTCACGAGCTGCTCGTTCTTCAGCTGAGAGCTTATTTCTGAATCCAAACATCACCGGGGTGCTTTAGTTTTATTGCTAACATGCTAACATGTCTGTGACCAGGCTGGATCATGAAGTCTCGTCTTTTTATTTTCTGATTCGTATAGTTGCCTCCTTTGGTCACTGTTAGAGTCAGAGACACTAAATCAGTCTTCCTCAGTAGGAACCACTTCAGACTTCAACTCTGTGCTGGTTTGACCCAGGCTGTGTTTACCTCATCTAACCAGTGGTGATATCACAATGGTGACATCCATCTTTGACATACAGTCTGTCAAAGGTTCTTCTTGCCTGTGATTTGTCCATTAGATCTGATTCCACATTCATGTTTCCCTGTGGGTCCAAAGCAGCAGCTCTGAAGTGCTGGAGATCGATGTCACTCCATCATCGCACCAGTTTCCCAGCAGGACGCTCGCTTCACCCGACAGCTCTGAGGGGGAAGTGAAACGAAAAGCTGATGTTGTTCTCATGCGAAGGCCGTATCACTGAGAACACTTCCCATTAAGATGTCATCATCTGCTCCAAGACTTCACAGCATAACCTGAAATGTTTTCCTCTGTTAGTCCAGACTGAAATATCCCAACGTGTGTCGTCTTCATGAGTTTCAGAGACTGCAAGAAATCCTAACGGGTAGCACAGATACTTTCTGCATTATTAACATCCTTTATTTAATGCAGATTTTCAACATGTTTACAAGAGTACGACTGGAAATGGAAAAAACAAAAACAATCCTCACTTCAGCCACTGCAGTGTTAACACACTGTAAACGTGTTATTCACACTGTGACAAACTACAACAGAAACGAGGTGAGTGAGAGGAAAAGCTGACTTTTATGCAGAGTAAGCAGTGAAGATGTGAACAGAGTGCGTGGGCCTGCGAGGATGAAGCAGCCAGTCTCAAAATAATGCTGCGCATTTCCTTTACCGTTTGAAACTGCTGCTGCTTTCTGCAGGTTTCCTCTTCCTCTGCAAAGATGTTCTGAAACATAACGGCCCCTAACTCCTGCTGTTCACCTGATGCTGGTGGATTTAAAAAAATTTTAAAAAGATGATAAACTTGTCTTGAAGCTTGTGTTTCAGCTGGTACAGTGGGGCAAAAAAGTATTTAGTCAGCCACCGATTGTGCAAGTTCCCCCACTAAAATGATGACAGAGGTCAGTAATTTGCACCAGAGGTACACTTCAACTGTGAGAGACAGAATGTGAAAAAAAAATCCATGAATCCACATGGTAGGATTTGTAAAGAATTTATTCGTAAATTAGGGTGGAAAATAAGTATTTGGTCACCTCAAACAAGGAAAATCTCTGGCTCTCACAGACCTGTAACGTCTTCTGTAAGAAGCTTTTCTGTCCCCCACTCGTTACCTGTATGAATGGCACCTGTTTGAACTCATCATCTGTATAAAAGACACCTGTCCACAGCCTCAAACAGTCAGACTCCAAACTCCGCCATGGCCAAGACCAAAGAGCTTTCGAAGGACACCAGGAAAAGTATTGTAGACCTGCACCAGACTGGGAAGAGTGAATCTACAATAGGCAAGCAGCTTGGTGTGAAAAAATCAACTGTGGGAGCAATCATCAGAAAATGGAAGACATACAAGACCACTGATAATCTCCCTCGATCTGGGGCTCCACGCAAGATCTCATCCCGTGGGGTCAAAATGATCATGAGAACGGTGAGCAAAGATCCCAGAACCACACGGGGGGACCTGGTGAATGACCTGCAGAGAGCTGGGACCAAAGTAACAAAGGTCACCATCAGTAACACACTACAACGGCAGGGAATCAAATCCCGCAGTGCCAGACGTGTTCCGCTGCTGAAGCCAGTGCATGTCCAGGCCCGTCTGAAGTTTGCCAGAGAGCACATGGATGATACAGCAGAGGATTGGGAGAATGTCATGTGGTCAGATGAAACCAAAGTAGAACTTTTTGGTATAAACTCAACTCGTCGTGTTTGGAGGAAGAAGAATACTGAGTTGCATCCCAAGAACACCATACCTACTGTGAAGCATGGGGGTGGAAACATCATGCTATGGGGCTGTTTTTCTGCCAAGGGGACAGGACGACTGATCCGTGTTAAGGACAGAATGAATGGGGCCATGTATCGTGAGATTTTGAGCCAAAACCTCCTTCCATCAGTGAGAACTTTGAAGATGAAACGAGGCTGGGTCTTCCAACATGACAATGATCCAAAACACACCGCCCGGGCAACAAAGGAGTGGCTCCGTAAGAAGCATTTGAAAGTCCTGGAGTGGCCTAGCCAGTCTCCAGACCTCAACCCCATAGAAAATCTGTGGCGGGAGTTGAAAGTCCGTGTTGCTCGGCGACAGCCCCAAAACATCACTGCTCTCGAGAAGATCTGCATGGAGGAATGGGCCAAAATACCAGCTACTGTGTGTGCAAACCTGGTAAAGACCTATAGTAAACGTTTGACCTCTGTTATTGCCAACAAAGGTTATGTTACAAAGTATTGAGTTGTATTTTTGTTATTGACCAAATACTTATTTTCCACCCTGATTTACGAATAAATTCTTTACAAATCCTACCATGTGGATTCATGGATTTTTTTTTCACATTCTGTCTCTCACAGTTGAAGTGTACCTCTGGTGCAAATTACTGACCTCTGTCATCATTTTAGGTGGGGGAACTTGCACAATCGGTGGCTGACTAAATACTTTTTTGCCCCACTGTATCTGTGTCTGTGTGATGAAGCCCTGCAGTCTATGGATGCAGCCGGGTATCCAAGCTAGCTGAGGACTCAACTGTCCAAAAACATCCAACACAGCATGAGCCAAACTATCAGTGCTTCAAAATGCAGAGGTTATACACCGACTGGAGATGTCAGGGTAACTAGCTCCATCTTTTACATACAGTCTATGCTTTAACCAGTGTTAATGCATCCCAACTCGCTGTCACTCAGCTGGTGTGTGCATACTGGGTTGAGCCCTGAGTTCTGTTATTTACCTGAAGGAGTCCTTAAAGCAAATGTGTGATGCACACATTAAGGTTTTGTGATTGTGTGAAAGAGAGGAAATGAAATGAGGATGTGTGAGAGGATGCATTTGCATGCATTAATGCTTAAACCTCTGGGAATCTGAGATCACTGTAGTAAGTCCCTGTAGTACAACAGAAATACTACAAACAACAAATGTTTCATCTCGAGCGGTGAAATCAATTAAAATCATACATGCTGGTTTCTGTTGTCTTTGTACCTTATCTTCCATTTTTCTACAGGATGTGGTGACGGGCTCAATCAGCCTCCTTGTCATGGTGCTGCATGCCCAGTTGTTTCCAAGAGTACAGTATGTTTTTAATGATATGGTTCTACACATCATAAAATTATTAAAATCATCGTTCTGCCTCTGCTGAAGTGTGACGGAGGCGCCGTTTCTGTTCCTCAGTTTGAAGGAATCTGCATGCTCTTAACTAATGAGGCATGAGCTTAAAACCGCACATAACAGTCAATACGATCCTTTAAGGTGATAAACATTACACCGAGACTAGCTTCCTTTGTGCTGTTGCTTTGCACTGTTGCACTGAGCAAATGGGGTTAAAATATGCTGAAGACGACTGAAAACGTCAATGAAACCAGGTTGGAACATGCAAGACCAGAGCTCTGCTCTCTGCATTTAACCCTACTCGGGTACAACGAGCGGAGGGCGGCTCCACAGAAGAACAAAGACTATAAAAAAGACAAGAAAACTTCATCACCCACTGGTTTCTGGGTTTTCATTTTAAACCTCCAACAACTGTGACCACGTTTGGATGGAGCGCTAAGTTATCTTTACTCCAAAACTGGAGTATAGTTAAGCAAACAGCAAGCATAATAATAATAATAATAATAATAATAATAATAATAATAATTATCATTATTATTATTATTATCATTATTATTATTATTATTATTATTATGACGACCTCATAAAAAAGCTTCCAACAGCACAAACAGTCCAGAGGTCCACTTCAGGTCAAGCCTAGCAGACAGCTAGCAACTACAGCTGCCTGTGTCACCAACCACCATCAGACAAAGAAGCCACGCCCCCAATAATGCAAACTTTAAGCTTCAATATAATTTAAAAAAGGTGAGTTATGAGTCATTCTCCACCTATACAGTTGTTATGAAGGGGGAATTTTTATAGAGACCAAACCTGGTTTTATAGCAAGATTTCAATCGATTGTGGGGAAATAAAGTTAATCAGAGAGATCCAAGGGAAAAAAAACAACTAAGAAAAACAGGATTTACCAACCAGACACTGACAGAGTACAGATACTTTTAATGCACCGCCATCAAGTCAAGAGCAGGATGTAAGTCAGGGGAAGAGGAAACCAGCACGAGTCTCAAACATACACACAGTATTATTTCACTGAAGGTTACGTCATCCTCACAGTCACACACACTCACGTCTTCATCACTTAGCATGCACGGATGTCATCTTCTTCTCACTCAGCCTGTTTGTGTTGTCATTTGGCACTTTATCCACCGCAGCCAAGTGTGAAGAGCATGTGTACAGTATTGGCACAGACATGAATGTGGAATTAGATTTATGAGATAAAACTGGTTCAGAGTGCACGAAGCATGAAATAAGCAGGGCCTTCAAAACTCACTCGTTTTGTTACATTCAGCTGCTTATTAACACAAACGTCAAAACAGCCAATCACATGGCAGCATTCAGGCAAGGGGATATGGCAAAGAAGCCTTGCTGAAGGTCAAACAGAGCATCAGAATGAGGAACAAAGGGATCTGCTGGGATGTTTAGGCACCACGACCTCTGAAGTTCACAGAGTGAGACACTGCATGAGCAGCAGTTCTCCGTTGATGCCAGAGGTCAGAGGTCAGAATGACAGACTACTCTGAGTTGACAGGAAGGCAACAAGCTCAAATATCTACTCGGTATAACCACGGCCACAACAGGTGGAACCTTGGAGCAGATGGGTTGCAGCAGCAGAAGACCACACCAGGTGCTCCTCCTGTCGGCTAAGACCAGGAGCCCGAGGCAGATGGTTTAAAAGAGAAGTGAAAGAAGCCATCACCCAAAACTTGGCTGATTGGGACACACACCCGTTTTCACACCTTGGCTTTGTGATTAAGTAGAAGATCAACGGGGTCCAAATCTGGGACTCTTCACTATTTGACCCAGGAACTGAAGAAGTCCAGATGATTTTCTCTCCAAGCTCTTTAGACCCTGCTCCGTAACCTGACCGCTCAGCAGAAATGTGTCTACGTCTTAGAGACGGTCCCCAGATCATCCAGAAACACAAGCTGCTGCACCTGAAGAAAGTGGCTTTATGGAGGAAAGATCCTGACCTGAAGTGAGCTGCACGTCACGTGATCGGACGCGAGTGCAAATCCAGTGAAGCGAACCTCCTATTGAATAAAAGAGGTCATATAGAAACTGAAAAAAGCATAGAAAAAATAACATTTAAAAAATAAAAACCCCAAAACAGACAATTACAGATACATCCTGCTCGTGTGCACGTTATAAATAAGTGAGGGGAAGAGGAGACCAGCACGAGTCTCAAACATACACAGTATTATTTCACTGGAGGTTACGTCATCCTCACAGGCACACACACACTCATCTCTTCATCACTTAGCATGCACGGATGTCATCCTCTCACTCCGCTTGTTTGTGTGTCGTTCGGCACTTTACTCACCGCAGCCAAGTGTGAAGAGCATGTGTACAGTATCGGCACTGCATACACTAAACTGAGGATTGGTTTCCATTTCCAGTCCGGCCCGCATTCAAAAAGGTCGCTGTGTCTGTGCACATGTTATTTTTTGGAAGTCACTGAGAGTCTCAAAGCATGATGAGATACTTGAGTCTGCACTAACAGAGCAAACCACTGCACTCTTCAGCCTTCACATGAGAACAACAGCAGCTTCTCCGAGCTCAGAGCTTCCAGGTGAAACCACAGCTATGGAGGAGGGACCTCCGTATCCAGCATGTCAGAGCTGTTATTGATGAGCAGCAGAGTCTGAGCTCGTGTTTTAGACCCAGACATGAATGTGGGATTAGATCTAACAGATACAATTGGTTCCGAGTGCACGAAACATGAAGCAACCAAGGCCTTCAAAGCCTATTCAGCCGCCCATCCTCAAACAGGGCGTCCTTTGAAGGCGGCAGGTGGAGGAGGAAGGGCATCAGTTCTTCACTCAGTCTCGGTCAATTACTTCTATTTGTCTTGACCTCACAGCCCTTTGTGTTCACAACATTGAGTCAGAGGGGTGATGTGGTTTCTGCTCGTCAACGGAAGGGAGAATTTTTCACGTGTTTCAGATTTTTTCAAACTTGTTTTCCCATCAAAGCAAACGAAAGTAATTTATTTTTCATCTTATTTTCAATGGTGCAGGTTTTCTTCAACCAGCCCGTCTTCAAAAAGTAGTGACGTCACTACTTTGAAGACGGGCTGGTTTGTCTTTTTATTATTATTATTATTATTATTATTATTATTATTATTATTATTTTTTTTTTTTTTTTTTTTTAAGACAAATGGGCCGTACGGAAGAGCGCACAGAGCTGGAGCTCAGCCTGCTGGGACGGTCTGTTGGCACGGAACTCTCACAGCAGCCAGATTATGTCAGATACAGTAAGTAAACGCGCTCCAGCAGCACAATCACGGCCCACGGGTTCCGTTCAGCCGCTTGGATCAGCCAATTAAAAAAGAAAAAGAAACGTAAGCATGTGTGACGGTGCATGCAGAAAGAGCGCAAAGAAATCCATGAAATTACAGCACAGAGGATTTAAGGGGGGGGGGGGGGGGGTGTTTCCCCACTTTATTTATTTATTCTTTTTAAATAAAAACATCCATGAATTTTAGCTTTTAAGGCAACGTCCGTTACAAGCTGATAACGTGCATGCAGAACTTCCGACAGAAACTCCGTTTTATGCTCCTGTTTAACCTGTAAAAACAGGATTACACGTTTACCTTCACCTGGAACCAAATTTAGAGTCTGATACACTGATCCAGATGTGATGTTCTGCTCTTGGCTCACGTTTGAGGCTTCTGCACATTTTTCCTCTTATACGTCATGAAATCCAGGAAATTACACAAAAACAAACAAAAACCCCACCACAAATAAAACACTGGACTATATATTTTTTTTACAATTTAAAGTTTAATTTCACAGGATTCACATGTCAAACATCAGATTTGCATCATTCTGAAAGTACAGAACTCATTTACATACAGTCGTTGTCAGACACATGAATACACATGTTTTCCACAGGGTTCAATATTTCTGAATTATCATCGAGCATGTTCCGTTACTGGCGGGAGGATTGGTTGCGTTTCAGAGTTGATGAAGAGCAGGATGCGGAAAGGAGCAGGGCGCGCCCCGGGCCGCGCCGCGCTCGTTTTGCCCGCTCAACAGTAAATAGTTAAGCTCCCTACTTTATGTGATTTCCTTTTTCTGCCTTTTATTAAACACTAACGTTGTGTCCCCTGCCGGCTTCCGAATGTCCAGCGCGGATCAGATCATCCGGACCAGCCGTGCAGGAGAACCGTGGACAGAAGCAGCGGAGCGACGAGCAGCATGAAGGCGGCGGGACTCCCGCTGGCGCTCGACGGTGCGGCTGTAGTCGAGTTCTGGGTGTTGGTGCCTCCGGTTCCGCTTTTATCTTGTGCCTCGGCCACCTGCAAAACATGAGATAACCACATGAGTTTAACGAATAGACACTGCACCAGGACACAGGAGTCACTCTCATCATCACCGCCTTCAGCTCAAATTGAATTATTCACGCACTTCACTCCAGGCTCCCCCCCACTTCAGGTTTTGAATCAAAGTCTGTCAGAGAATCTTTCGTCTCCATTTCTGCCAAACACTGAACTAAATTCTGAGCTGAAGCTGCAGACAGCTGCTGCTCTGGCAGTTGTGCATTTAATTATGCGCAAACAAGCTGCGTTACGCACGGCAGTTTGCGCCTCTTCTGTGAGGGAAAATGTGTAAAAAAGATGCTTTAAACACGGGCTGAACTGACCTGGGAGGTGAGATTGAGAGCCAGCAGCAGGACTGCGACGAAAACGATGCTTAGCTTCTTCATGCTGATGTGATGGGAAACTGCTGCGCTCGGTGGAGGAAAGGCAATTGAAACAGGAGGCGCGCAGTCGCACCTTTTATAGCCCCCACCCAACCGACACAGAAACTGCCTTCATCATGCTGCTTTCAGGCGCTTTCAGGCCAACCCGTTCTCACTCCCAAAGCGTAACATTTTACGCTAGGTGACAAATCGTCAACATATTACGTTTTCGGCTACCACCACGTTCCTAAATGACGACCTCGGAAAAAGAGGAAATATGAGAACCGTCTGGACTGAACCTACACATGTTCGCTCTTTTTCTTCAAATCGCTTAGAAACACGCTATTTAACATCATTAAAGTCCTGGTTAAGGTCAGGAATAAGGTTATGGTCAGGGCTAGGGATAAGGTTAGGTTTAGGGCTGGAATACAGGGCTGGAACGTCTATTACCGCGGGAGCGTCATTGCACTGGATTCCAGCCATAACCCGCCGCGTACCATAAGAACGCCGAAGGTCTCCTTTCGCGTTCCTCAGGAACGCCGCGGGACGTGACAAAACGTCGACATGTTACGCCTCGGGAGTGAGAACGCTCTGTTTCAGGCGGAGATAGAGCTGCTCAAGGAGCAGAAGACAGCATAATAAAATGCTATATAATGTTTAATTAAAACAGTATTTTAAGCACCCTGGGATCGTCTTTCACACCAAATCCCCCGAATAACTCAAGACAATTATGCAATGGTTCTCAGTTGTTTTTTGCTTTTCCCCGCCATTATAACTACATGTTTGTTCCGTGTGTTTTTTTGTTTGTTTGTCAAACAGCTTATTCTGCATTGTGAGCATCATCGTCTGTAGCCTGCTCCATTGTAAAGCGCTTTGAGTGCTCAGATGAGTAGAAAAGCGCTGTATAAGAACCCGTCTATTTACCATTATACACTGGTAAAAATAAATAAATAAATAATAATAATTAAAGTAGCGTTCAAAGTTCATCAGATTTCAGTGGGGTATAAATCATGCTGAATACCTGCACTGGTGTGCACTGGGTCATGTGTCAGGAGTGAAAGGATGCCAAGAAATTAAAATGAGTAGCCTGCAGAGGGCACATACCTACAGACACCTGAAAATCAGAGTGAAAACACACGGAGGGACAATGTCAGTGGCCTCCGTCTGTAAAATCATTCCCGACTCGGAGGTTGTCTCACTTTTAGCCCTCTGGTGCACTTGTTGTTAATTTCATTAGCACCAAAGCAGCTTAAACTGATTAGCATCCTCCTCTGCTACTTGACAGCCCAGATCTATATCCCAGAAGTTTAACTTGATGCTCTGATCGAAAAATGCTTCTTTAATTTGATTGTATTACCCTTTAATAAGCAGGGATATAGGTTTTGAATTTTTCCTTTAATTTGTCATCTAAGGCTTCGATTTAACTAACGATAGATAAATGACGACCTCTAGTGGTCAGTCGCTGTCATTGCCGCTTCAGATTCTCCTACGACCCAGCGGGACTGTGTGTGTTTAAAGCTGGAGGGTGCTGAGGTGTCTCCGTGTATCACAGGGACCGCGCAGACCCAATGGTTTGGAGGTCAAGTTAGAGAGAAAAGGTCAAGATGGTTGGTATCATCATCATCATCCAGAATAAATAAACAAATTAAACTTGTCATGTTTTTCTAAACTGGTTAAATGATTTAGTAGTAGTAAGTACGCCTGAGTATTTAGAGCAGTACAAACAAACGTTTGCTCGTGCCTGACTAGCAGCAAGCTCAGTCTAAAACAATCCACACTGTGTACTTTAGAGTTTTTGTTTAAAATGTCTGAACCGTCTCAGGTTCCAGTTTTTACAGGATGTAGTGACAGGCTGAACATGTTGCATCAGTGCAGCATGTTTAAAAAGGGAACTTTATGATCGTATAGACAACAAATTACTCATCATGGCTGAGGTGCTGCTTCTCTTTTTGTTCTTATTCTTGGTGAAATCTCTACATCATCTACTGTACAGCGTCGATATAATCCTTTATAACGTCGACTGAGCCGAGTCAGGCATCCTGCAAACCACCAGATTGCTAATTTTGCTGGCTAACCCCGTTTCTTCTTCAGAGCCATCACCATATATGAGGTCAAATACGAGTCCTGACAGTGCTGACCCTGTAACAGCTGGGATGGGCGCCAGCAACGCTGAATTAGACAAGGAAGGAAACGAATGGATGGAATTCCGAGTTTTTCGTGTAATCTAGTGGTAGGACACACCTGAGGGAAGAATCATGACACAGAGTGCATACTGTGTTCCCACTGCACCCCTTAGTGTCACCACTGTGGATCCTCTGCCATCATCTCATTGGATGCTCAGCATCAGAGATGAAAGATAATCAGGTTGGCACAGTTTTTGGGTTATGTCTTTGTTGTACTGCAGCATGTTGAACAATAATTAAAAGCTACACTTTCACTGAGTGTAGGCCCTCCAGACCAGCCCATCACTCCAAAGTGGGTCGACCCACTGGGAAAACCCCCAGTATGTCAGATTGCATCCTCCTCTGCACAGTTTCCACTGGTGACCAACACCAGGTCTCTTTAACCCCGACTGATCCAGCACGGAGATGTTATTATTGATGATCCACGTTTGATGTGAATGCCCGACTGCCTCAGTTAAGGTCAGAGGTCATGATTCAACTGTTAAAATAAAAAAAAGACTGTGGGAGAGTCCAAGAAAACCACTGCTGACCAAAAAGATCACAAAAGCTCATCTCACATCTGCTAACAAACATCTGGATGATACCCGAGACTTCAGTGAAATATTCTGTGGACTGATAGCGGAGGCTGAACCATTTCCTGTTAGATTTGCGTCAGACTCACAGCGTTTCATAAAGGGAACATCCCAGCAGCAGGCAGACACTGTGGTGGTTTGGGATGCAGTGTGACTGAGGGAATTGTGCTCTCCACCAGGAAACCCTGAAGGAGGATGTCTGCCCATCAGCTCAGTCATTGTCCTGGTGTATATTCATTTCACACAGCACTGGCAGGTTTGGACAACTTTGTTTTAACAAAGAAAATCTGCATTAAAACAAAAACACCACGTTGTATTCACTGACTTTCTCCAACACTGTGCATCATGCGGGTTTATTAGCAGGACTGATTTCTGAATGTTACGATACTGACTTTACCCACAGCCTCACAGTAACATCCTCGTACCCTTATCATCATATCTCCAGGTTTTTGAGGGAAATGCAACCTCAGATAAACACCATTTACAAAATGCAGAAGCACCATCTGAAACACTGAGTCTGCACCATCATCAGCTCAGAAAACCACTTTCAGCAGCAATAGCTTGAAGTACTGGTTTTCTGTGTTACTTTATAAGGCTCGCACATCATTCTGGAGGAAATTTTACTTCTGCTTTACATCATTGCTTCAGTCGAGGCCGGTGGTTTGGGCTAGTGCAACCCAGGCTTCAGCTGCCGCCAACACTTTAGTACACAGGAGCTCACGGCCCGCACCACTGCAAGGTGCCCACATCATCAACTGTGCTGAGTTTGGTTTTTCTTGAAACATGCGCTCTGCATTACGGGCAAACGCCTCCACTGAGTGTGAAAGGACAGATTTCTTTCTCTTCTCAGTTTTTACAGAGAAGAGAAAGACTTTTTTTTAGAGAGAGGGGAAGTGCTGATTGGGCCGTATCATTAGCAAATTATCTTAAAAGTCTTTCTTTGGCTCGTGACTTCCTCGTTTACTTCATCTTGGGTTTGATTATTTATTTTAATTAACTGCTAAAATAACTGTTGGTTATGTTACTTACCAGATGATTTTTTGAATATTTATTTCCCCCCATTGTATTGAACCGGTGTGATCAGCCACCATTTAAGTTTCCTTTATTTCCTGTGTGTTAGGCTGCTGTTATTCTGTCGAGCAGTCAGTTTGGAGGCTTGAGTTCAGGGGCTGCTGTTGTTAGTTTACTTCGGATATTTCTACATTTTGGGGTAAATAAAACCCACTTTTTCCCTAATCACCACTAACTCACACTCACACAGACCTTGAGGTGAATTTCCTGGGAGTTTTGAGAAAACTGTGAGCTTCTTGAACGTCTTCCACTCATGGATAATCTCTCACTGCAGAATGATGATCTTTGTTCTTATGAACAGACTGAGTGTTGGTCTCTAACATCACTACTGACGTTGTGTCAACACACCTAAATGTTGCAGATCTGCTAACTGGTCTGACAGAGGTGCTCACACCTGATGAGGATCAGTTAAGTGTGTGTTTGATTAGCAGCACCTGGCTCATAGTTACTCTCATAATGAAGCAGCAAGGCTGGACTTTGGCTTCATGTTTGTGAAATAATGGTGACACATCATGTAATATGTTGTTCATTTGAAGCTGTATTTACTTAACTGATCAAACCTTTAAACCACCACATATTAAATAATCAGCATCGTCACATTTATCAAACTCCTCACACTGTTTTCAGCGCTGTGACTGAAACCTGCTTTATTTTTTCAGTTCATCCTCATTGGGTCTTACTTTCACCTGTGATCTACACCTGTCCATTATTCCCCAGCCACACCCCTGCATCCTGTCACAGTGTACACACTCCGTGTAGCCTACTTTACTAGATAGTCTTCCTCAGTTTGTCAGTCTTTCCTACTGTTTCCAGTTTTCACTTCCTTTTCATCTGTTTGTGTTTGAGCTTGTTTACTGATTCTGACTTCAGCTCCTCGTATTTTCCCTCTTCTTCCTCTGGGTGTCTCCCTTTTGAGTTCTTTCCCTCCAAGTTATCACAGATTCACTTTGCAAATATTATTTCATCTCTTGGATCTCTGAGCTCATACTGAAAATATAATATAAAGAAAGTTGGTATAATTTTACATTCCGCTCCACTTTTAAAAGTGATCCGTGCTTTTAACACATCCAGGCAGAGTTACTGCAGTTTTGTGTCAGATGGGCCAAAACGCTCCCGGAGATGCGTCTACATGTTAGAATTCACTTCATAGTTTTCATACTGGTACTTTCAGCAGGTCTGCAAAGGTTAAACAAGCTGAACGTAAAAAAGCGATTCAGCTTTTGTGATGAGGTTCAAATTAAAAATAAAAGTTTTTTCAAGCGGGATGTTTGACCATCACACCTGTACTGTACAACCAACGTTTCTATGCAACAGAATAAATGCAAGCAGCTGCGTAAATGTGCATAATTACACACCTAGAGCAGAGCAGGCTTTAAAATAGCTGCTTTTCGATTCTATCAGCCGCACGTTTATTTACAGTCACCCGAAACCAGATTAAGCTGAGCCTGATAATCCGCCTGTGCGGCTGACACGGACACCAAACCTGATTATCAGTGTTCTCAGTTCACCTGCTCAACCTCTTCCAGCATCTATACTTCACATACCGTGACGCTCCACGGGGGGAAAAACAACAGCTCAGTCACGTGTTCTTACAATTTACAGTTTTATTCTTTTTATCAAATTCGAGAAATCTGGTCTAAAGTACAAAACTCGTTCGTGTACAATCACTTGAAACGGATTGTCTTCTTCACGGGTGCGTAAAGACAGCCAATCGGGGCGGCGCGCGCTCCTTTCAAAAACATTTCCCATCAACACTGAAAACGATTTCACTTCAAAGAAAAAATACATTGAATCTGGAATAAAACTAAAGATGCGTCTCCAGTCCACGCGTGGCGGCTGTGCCGTGTCCGCTCGCTCAGGCGTGAAACAGAAGAGCCGCGAGCAGCAGCGGGGACAGCAGCAGCGTGGAGAGGGCGGGACCTCCGCAGCCACTCTTAGTGGGTTCACTGGTGGAGATGGAGGTGGAGCTGGTGGTGGAGGTGTTGGTGCTGGGGAGGGCGGTGCTGGCTGCCTCGGCCCTCTGAAACACACAAAAGCGAACTGCGATCACGGAGGGTCACGACAAACTCCTGATCCCGTGAAAACTTTAAACACCACGCGAGTAAAAATCTTCATTTTAATCATTTCATCAAAATTCCACAAAAACAGAATTTCCCCTCACGTTTACTTCTACCCTCAAATCTGGTGTAAGGAATCTCCACTCGGGATTCTTTGCGCTCCCACGATAAATGTTACTCATTCCACATTTTAACACTGACGTTGTCTTTTACTCATCAGGCCCGGGGGCACGAAAAACCCGCCGGTCTTTATTTCTGCCCAACGTTATTTCCACAGCTCTAAACTCGGAGTTTGTGGGAGTTTGGAGTTTCTCCTTCAGTCTCGGATGCTCCTCAACATAAGCCTTAAAGCTCCTTATGTCCGCATTTAATTAGGCGCAAACAAACTGCGTTTCCGCCGCATCTTTAAAAGAAAAGGTGCTGAAAGATTTAGTTTTTATTAAAAAGATGCAATGGTGAAACTGACCTGAGAGCTGAGACGGAGAGCCAGCAGCAGAACTGCGAGGGAAACGATGCTCAGCGTCTTCATGCTGGAGGTGATGGAGGCTCGTTTTATCTGTCGGGTGGAGGAACAGTGAATGAACGGGAGGCGCAGGTCGGGCTTTTATAGGCTTTGAATTTACCGCTGATGTATATATGGTGACATCTAGCGGCCGCTCGCTGACTCACAGACGCTGCTCTGGAGTGTGTGTGTGTGTGTGTGTGTGTGTGTGTGTGTGTGTGTGTGTGTGTGTGTGTGTGTGTGTGTGTGTGTGTCTTTAACTCCATTCCAGCCACATGACTAGATGAGCACCGCACTATTCTCATTGTCATTGGCCTGTCAGTCAAAGCTGGAAAGGAATGACTTCTATTGACTTTATATTGATCATGTGTCATTGTTCTATTGAGGAAACGTTATTTTGACATCATTAACATGTCATCAGCCAAACAGCTGTAAAGACTGTGAACACACTGATTTCTGCTGGATGTTTTGGTGCACGAGTCTGTGGGGACGTGTTTGCTGGGCAGCGAGCAGGAAACCCTTCCTCCAGCCTGCTGATTTAACCTCACAGTGCAACGGCCAGCTGGAGGTTACCTCATCATTGTGGATTGTTTACCTGCAAGCCAGTAAGACTCCCGTTACTAAAAAAAAAGTCGCCTGCAAGTCCCCAGCTTGTACACAATAACCTGCAGAAAGTGTTTTGTGAGATAAGGTGGGCCGTGCATACCTGCAGGCTGTGTCGACAGGAGTCCGAACTGTTAGAAGTGATTCAGGCTTTTAACTGGCTGAGAAGAATCGAGGTGGCTGGCGGGACATGTTTGTACCAAATTTCAGTCCATTGTGCAGAAATAAAGAAACCTCAGAGGTCATATAGAAGAAACACTAACAGGCTACTCAGCTCTGCATCATATTTAGAAAATTACAGAGTGAATTATGGAGGTTTTTAATGCAGCACCATCAGGTGAACAGCGTGAGAGAGAGGAAACTAGCACCCGTCTCAAACAGTAAAGGAAATACGCAGTTTTATTTTGAGGAAGATTACATCATCCTCACAGACCCACACACCTCGCTCACGTCTTCATCACTTTGCATAAACGTCCTCTTCTCACTCGGCCCGTTTCTGTTGTAGTTTATCTCTAACCAACATGTTTCCAATGTTAACAGGTCTGATGTGTAAGTCTGAATAAACAAAAGGTTGTTTATAATTCAGAAAGTATCTGTGCAGGGAGGGATCTCTGCCTCCAGCATGCCTGTGGAGCTATGAGCTGTTATTGATGAGCAGAGTGAGCTGGTGTGACTCACAGGGAGACTAGCAAACAGGCTGGATCCTTTGATTTTGGACAGTAGAGTCAGACTTCGGTGTAAACATGCGAGCACCAATCCATCCTGCTTTATACCAGCAGCACATGTTTGTCAAGGTGTGGATTTTCTTTAGACACTTCAGGCCCCTCAGAAAAAAACTGAGCCACAGTGCGTCCTGCTGGCACCTTCTAGAATACACTGTATATAAGATCAGTCACGTCTCAGTCCCGAAGCAGTTTTACATTTATGTTAGCTGTAAATTTGAGTTCCAAATTAAAACCTTTCTGCATGTACACACAGAAACTTCTGAATCTGGAGGCTTAGACCTAAGTTCACCACATGTGAGGCAGCAGGTGTGCCCTGTGTTGACTAGCATTACCACAGGAAGCTCAGATTTTCTCGTCAGGGTTAGGGTGCCAATTTAAAATAGCTGAAACCAGATTAAGAGGCTGAAGGAGCCTGATAATCAGACCTGGTGTGACTGAGCCACAGCGGGTCAGACCATCGGGGCTCTGAACTCACTCATGCAGCTTCACTTCTCCCGCACAGAAAGGAAACAGTCACGTGGTCTTAGATTTTAAGTTTTATTAGTTGACATCAAAGCACAGCCTTTCAGTCCCAAATGTTTTACAGCATTTAGACAAACTTCATAGTCAGTGACACCGGAAACAGGAGCACCTCCATGACTCACTCCTGTTCTCAGAGTTCAGGAGGAAACAGCTTTTTATTAAACCTCCTTTAGGAAGACCTAAAGTTTCCACGGAGTCCAGGCCGATCCGGATCCAGTCATCCGGACCAGCTATGGAGGAGAGCCAACAGAGCCAGCAGCGGAGTGCAGGCGGCGGGTCCCCGGGAGCCGGTCCCTGTCGGAGGCCTGCTTCTTGGAGAAGTCGCAGTCTTCACAGTGGAAAGTGTGGACGGCGTGGCAGAGACTGCCTTCACCGTGGAGGACTTTACTGTGGACGCCGCGGTCGTAGTGGACAACGTAGATGCGCTGAGCGTGGAGGACTTGACCGTGGACGCCGTGGAATGGCTGACCGTGGAGGACTTGATCGTGGACGACTTGATCGTGGACGGGCTGACCGTGGAGGACTTGATCGTGGACTTGATCATGGACGCCGTGGACGGGCTGACCGTGGAGGACTTGATCGTGGACGACTTGATCGTGGACGCTGGGGACGCCGTGGACACGTGCCCCCGGGCCATCTGCAACACAAGAGACGCCATGAAGCTGAGGAAGTGCGGCTGCACACCGTGGGGAGGCTGAGAGGCCCTTAGAGTTCACCTCCACCTTTGATCAGGTGTTTAAATTTAACGTTTGACAAAAAGTTTGTCCCGCAGCCTCTCCTGCCCCTCCACGCGACATTTAAAGCTTCTTAACGTAATGCAACTCCACAGCACGAACACGACACTTGGACAAAAACGTAACTCACCTGTGAGCTGAGCTGGAGAATCAGCAGCAGCGATGCGAGGACGACCACACGCAGCGTCTTCATGTCGGCTGTGCTCTGCTGGGGAGAGGAAAGGTGATTGATCACAGAGGCGCACAGCCCACCTTTTATAGCCCCCACGCCTCGACACACCCCTATCTGCTGCGTTCACGGGATGTCGCAGATGTCGCTTCTCAAGTCAACCGTGATCATGTTTAACACCTAATGTTGTTTTTATTTGTAAACACATATTTAACCAATGATGATCCAGAACAACCAAACAAACCGAAAAGTACAACAAATTGTAAAAAAAAAAGTACATTTTTTGCAGTTATTTATTGCATGTGATGAAATTTATGTCTGCATGCTTCTATCTGTCTGAGTCGTTGGCTGTGTCCCAATTCAGGGTCTGCACGCTTGAAGTACGCGCACTACGCGTACTACGTACGGTGCGTACTATAAGTACGAGAAGTGCGGAAGTGAGAGGCTTGTGAAATGGGACGGTATACGCTTCGTCGCGCTGTTCAGGTTGCCTAGCAACCATGATACTAACCGCGAGACACGTTACATACAGCTTTGTTTGACAGAAATGAAGGAGAAAAATGTTTTGTTGGTCATTCATTTTTGTCATGACATCACTTTGATTAGTTGAGTATCTGAGGCTGAGACCACGGGACTGTAAAACATGATTGTTGGGCTTCATTTCTGTGCTGAACAGTCATTTAAGATTAGTTAGTAAATAACAATTAGTTAATGTTGTTCATGAGACTAAAGTCATCTCACTGTGGTAATGTAAATATATATATATATACGGGAAGTGCAGAATTATTAGGCAAATGAGTATTTTGTCCACATCATCCTCTTCATGCATGTTGTCTTACTCCAAGCTGTATAGGCTCGAAAGCCTACTACCAATTAAGCATATTAGGTGATGTGCATCTCTGTAATGAGAAGGGGTGTGGTCTAATGACATCAACACCCTATATCAGGTGTGCATAATTATTAGGCAACGTCCTTTCCTTTGGCAAAATGGGTCAAAAGAAGGACTTGACAGGCTCAGAAAAGTCAAAAATAGTGAGATATCTTGCAGAGGGATGCAGCAGTCTCAAAATTGCAAAGCTTCTGAAGCGTGATCATCGAACAATCAAGCGTTTCATTCAAAATAGTCAACAGGGTCGCAAGAAGCGTGTGGAAAAACCAAGGCGCAAAATAACTGCCCATGAACTGAGAAAAGTCAAGCGTGCAGCTGCCAAGATGCCACTTGCCACCAGTTTGGCCATATTTCAGAGCTGCAACATCACTGGAGTGCCCAAAAGCACAAGGTGTGCAATACTCAGAGACATGGCCAAGGTAAGAAAGGCTGAAAGACGACCACCACTGAACAAGACACACAAGCTGAAACGTCAAGACTGGGCCAAGAAATATCTCAAGACTGGTTTTTCTAAGGTTTTATGGACTGATGAAATGAGAGTGAGTCTTGATGGGCCAGATGGATGGGCCCGTGGCTGGATTGGTAAAGGGCAGAGAGCTCCAGTCCGACTCAGACGCCAGCAAGGTGGAGGTGGAGTACTGGTTTGGGCTGGTATCATCAAAGATGAGCTTGTGGGGCCTTTTCGGGTTGAGGATGGAGTCAAGCTCAACTCCCAGTCCTACTGCCAGTTTCTGGAAGACACCTTCTTCAAGCAGTGGTACAGGAAGAAGTCTGCATCCTTCAAGAAAAACATGATTTCATGCAGGACAATGCTCCATCACACGCGTCCAAGTACTCCACAGCGTGGCTGGCAAGAAAGGGTATAAAAGAAGAAAAACTAATGACATGGCCTACCTTGTTCACCTGATCTGAACCCCATTGAGAACCTGTGGTCCATCATCAAATGTGAGATTTACAAGGAGGGAAAACAGTACACCTCTCTGAACAGTGTCTGGGAGGCTGTGGTTGCTGCTGCACGCAATGTTGATGGTGAACAGATCAAAACACTGACAGAATCCATGGATGGCAGGCTTTTGAGTGTCCTTGCAAAGAAAGGTGGCTATATTGGTCGCTGATTTGTTTTTGTTTTGTTTTTGAATGTCAGAAATGTATATTTGTGAATGTGGAGATGTTATATTGGTTGTCACTGGTAAAAATAAATAATTGAAATGGGTATATATTTGTTTTTTGTTAAGTTGCCTAATAATTATGCACAGTAATAGTCACCTGCACACACAGATATCCCCCTAAAATAGCTAAAACTAAAAACAAACTAAAAACTACTTCCAAAAACATTCAGCTTTGATATTAATGAGTTTTTTGGGTTCATTGAGAACATGGTTGTTGTTCAATAATAAAATTATTCCTCAAAAATACAACTTGCCTAATAATTCTGCACTCCGTGTGTGTGTGTGTGTGTGTGTGTGTGTGTGTGTGTGTGTCCATATATCACTGACTTTCAGCTTGTTGTGTTTGTGGATATATGACTGACTTTAATTATTAAACATTCGCACATAAATAAGTGACGTCATATTCAGTACTTTTGACAGTTCACTCTTCGGCCGCTCCATCTTATTAGGGAAATTCCACATACATAAATGTAAATTTCAAAACTCAACCCCATCATTTAATTTGTTTTTGATTGAAATTGAATATTACTTAAACTCTCTTAAATTAACTTCCAATAAAAAAGGTTTATCATTGATTGAAATTCATTCAGAAATGTTTAACGAATGAGCTGTCACAACTTTCAAGTACAAAGTTGTTATGAAGTCTGTCACATTCCCCCTTTTTTTTCTTTTTTTTTATCCTTTATTTATTTATCCTTCTTATTTCATTGTACTGTATATTGTTACTCTTATTTGCCTTGTATGTCTACTGTACAAACTGAACTGGAATGACTGACTGTTCGCTTTATAATTTCAATAAAGTTTTGAAAAGAAAACCCCTCTGTCCACACACTTCGAATTGGGACAGCCGTCGTCGCGTGGCGGTGACGTAACCGCACTTAAAATGCGTACTTCAAGCGTGCAGTCTCTTAATTGGGACACAGCCCCTGAGTTGGGACACAGCCGTTGGCACCTGCGTGAGTTCATCTCCATGAAGGATGTCTGCTTTGTCCAATCAGGATGAGCCTTCCACCTGTCAGGAGCCTGGTGGCTTCGGAGACAGATTTTTCTATCCTCCGAAACAAAGCATGGCAAAAAAAAAGTTGGATATAATTTAACAAAAGTCTCATATATTGAGGGTGTCACGAACATATTGTCTTGATTTGACCAGGTTGGGTCTTCTCAGTGCTGTTTGAGCTCATTAATAAAGTGTAGGCTGGTTTGGTTCAGTAGGACATGATGAGTGATGACTGTGTGTCTTTAGATAAGAAACAACTGACAGGAGGCGATACGGTGTGAACTGCTCTGCATGAGACAGAAAATCATTTTGATTAAACATCTGACCCACCGTCACATCTCCGTCACCAAACCACATGTGATAAAGGAGAACCTGGTGTTTATATGAGATGTCCTTATTGTTCCATACTAAGGCTCTGTGTGGGGAGAAGAGATGAATCCTGTGATCACAGGTCGTGGTTTCTCCTGACGATGTGCCACGTCCAGCACAGCTGAGGTGCTGCGATTGGCCTGAGGGACCAGATCTCCTCCACTCCTCTTTGATGGTCTCAACAGAGCCTGAGGAACTCATTCATTTATTCTGCAGCTCTGTTATCTTTTCATCAGCTTCACCGTCTCCTTGAAGACTGAGATGAGAGCTTCACTGATGGCTCTTGATTGTGTTTTTTGAATTTGATCTCTCGTTGATTTTATCACAAATATTATGAATGATATTGTTTTGGTCTTAGACACCTGAGAAGCTGCTCGGGTAGATGATGTTTCTTTGTGTTTGACACACAATCATCCAATCTTAGATTTGCATTATATTATATTATATTATATTATATTAT